AGCATCCGGCTGGAGCTTCAGGCCTCAGACTCCAGGGCCTACCTCCATCCATGCAGTCTATACCCAAACAACTAACCCCAGCTGCAATGAAGAATGTAGAGTCAGGCGACAAGGGTTCAATTCCAGTTACATCTCTTATACTTATATCCTAAGGCTTATAAGGGTTTTCCCCTGTTAAGAACTACACAAGAGACAATGCAAGACCATCCTTCACTTTGGAGTGTGGCAGGCCCTGAGACCCAAGAAGAGGGACCCCAATTGCCTGTGCTTAACGGAAGTCCAGTTGAGCAGGCAGAATATGGTACCCTAAGGAGCTGCCACAGGGAGCAGGGGAAGGCTTATGTAGCAGTGGCCATCAGGGGACTTCAACACAGAGTGAGAGAGGCCCAGGAGGCTGGGCAGCCTGGGATAAGAGGCATCTGAGTACTGCTCAGATAGTGAGATGGGAAAGCTGGGAAAACAGAGCAGTAGATCAGTAGGTAGTAGAGCTCCAGCTTCCTGGAGACGTGAAAGATCTAGCTCTTCCCTTGTGGGATTGGAGGAAGCACTGGAGGGCACTAGTTTGAGGTACCATGTTACCAAGTAAAAGACTCCAGCACAGGGGGCAACGTTGAAGTTCATTTGCAGGATTGGAACACGTAGGTGACGCACAGAGATGATAATCTTTATTACCCTGGGTCACCTACTCCACCTCTTGGTTGTGGTTTCTAACCTCACTGTCTCCACTTCCTTATATCTATAAAATAGACTCAAAATATTTTCCATCCTGCTGAGTTTTGGCAGATTTAAATGACATTCAGGTAAAAGGCTTATAACAGTGCCTAGATTATATAAGCAGTCAATAAATGCTCACTCTGATTATCAGTATGGAAGATACATATCATTAATTAAGATTTAATTAGCCATTACTTTTTGCCAGTTACCCTTCCAAGTGCTTTATATGAATTACTCCATTAAATCCTTAAACAACCGTATGAAGTCTGTACTATCATCATCTCTGTTATGTAGATGAGGGACCTGAGGCACACGGAGAGAAAGCAACGTGTCCCAGGTCACACTGTTCGCAAAAGGCAAGCTGGGATGTAAGCCCAGGAAACCAATTTCAAAGCCTGAGGTCTAAACACTCTACTTTCTCCACTGCCTCTCTAAAGGGTAGGGTATCACCCTCTGAGAGTTAAGCTATGAAATCAGCACAGAGAGATGCAAAATCTCTCCAAGGAGAAAGAATGGCCATCTGGCTAGAGCAGGCTTTCCCTGTAAACTCATTAGAGTTATTAATGTGATGATGTTAAAAGGGGAGTTGGTCAACCATAGAACATGGAAAAATGAGGGTCCCAGAGACAAAGACTATCAGTGCATGTATGACTCTAACCAGGGGAGAGGGCCTTTGGCCACCAGACAAAAACGTTCATGCAGGCCAGGCTGGTACTCCCGTAGAAGAGAAAAAGGCCCCCAGATACCTCAGTTGAAGTCTATTTCTTAAGATTGACCAACTTCCTTTGCTCTGCTGCCATGCTCACCTAGCAAACGTTTGATCAGTGTGCCTCTGGGGAGAAAAGTGTGTTGTTCTGGGGATCTGAGTATTTTGGGTAAGTTTAAAAAGTAGGATTCTGACTTAAACACCAGTCTTTTTCTGTATTTATTTGGTATAATCTTCCTCTGAAAGCCGTCTCTACTCACAGATAACACACAATCAGGACTTTGCAGTGGAAGGTTAGACATATACAACAACACAGAGAGCCCACTAAGATACAGGCCACCTCACAAGGGCTCTGACAGCCAGCTGGGCAACCTCCCCTGGTGAAATACCTTCATCCCCGTCAGCCATCTTTGCGACGTCATCATAGCTCCAGGGAAGGCCAAGCCAGCCACAAGATGCTTATACTGAATCCTGATGTTAGACTAGGGCATTGTAAGTCATTATAAGGGACTGTCCTAAGATTAGAGTTGGTGAGGCTGAGCCTCTGCGTGGCTTCTTGTGGCTTCAAAAATGAGCTGTGGGGCTAACAGGGAGGAGGAAATTTAAAACAGGGAGGACTAGGTCCCCACTAACTCAGTGGCATTGGGCAAGACATTTAACTGCTCTGAGCTTCAATTTCCTCATAGAAAACATTTTAGATCAAATATCTACTTCACTCACCTACGGGCCTCTATAAAAATCAGAATCCAAGTGGAACTATCTTGTACATTGTATGTAACTACATAAGCCTAAGAATTGCTAACGTGAACCTTGAGTAAGTTACAGCTCTCATTGGTGCAGCACTTGTCACACACCAGGTACTGCTCTGAGCACATTTTGTCTAATAACTTAACTCAGGCTCATAATAATCCTATAGTAAATGTTGTGATGTGTCACCTGAAAACTGCCTGCAAGACAGTCTGCCTCTTCACTGAAGGTTATGACCGCTCGCCGGGGGCTAGCCCACTTCCTATGACTAGTTGTTGTGGTGAGAGGTGACAAAGGCTCAACCCCCCTTGCCTTGATATGAAACCGCTCTGAAGGGCCATCCAGCTGCCTCAGGATGAGGTGAGCCCTCAGGGACTCTTGGATCACAGGTCAACCTCTCTCTGCCCCATCCTGTTCCGCTCACTCCCTGACAGTACTATTCCTGACAGCCCTCCCCAGGGAACCACCTGTACACACATGTCCACCTCATAGTCTATCTGGGGGGCTACTAAACTTAAGACAGACACTTTGGAGTATTGTTATTCTTATCCTCATTTTATAGAGGTGAAGTAACTTGCTCAAGGTCACACAGCTAGTAAGTGGTAGAGGCAATATTTGAAACCAGGCCATGTAGAAAATATTCTTACTGTAACATATGTCATTGGAATGTCTCTGAGTGAATGGACTGTCTGTGTTTGACAAGTCCTTTGACTAATGGTTGGCCTAGAAGCCGAGCCTAGAACCTAGATGTTGGTTGTTGCCGCAACTTGAGAGGAAAGGAAAATCTACTCTAAAAAGACAGCAGGACAAATTTGAAGCTGGGTATTTAGATTAACCTGGTATGGAGGAGCTGAGAAAGAGAGGGTGGAGAGAGAGATGAGGCAATTTAATTGGGGGGATGCTGTGGGCTGTGGGCCATGTGATGTAATTCCTCCCTGTGACATGCCTCCCTTCAAATATCTTCAGTAAAATCTACCCAGCTCAGGAAATGCTTGATGGTGTGTTCATCTGCCAGGGCTGCCATAACAAAGGACCACAGACCAAGGGGCTAAAAAACCAGAAATTTATTATCATGGTCCTGGAGGCTAGATTTCCCAGATCCAAATGTCAGCGGGGTTGCTTCCTCGGAGGGCTGTGAGGGAAAGATCTGTTCCGCGCCTCTTCCCTCATTTCTGGTGGTTTGTTGGCAATCTTTGGCGTTCCTCGGTGTGTGGGAGCATCACCCTGACCTCGGCCTTCATCTTCACAAAGCGTTCCCCCTGTGTCTGTATCGGCATCCAAATTTCCTCCTTTTCTAAGGACACCAGTCATATTGGATTAGGGGTCCACCCACCCCTGTATGACCTCATCATAATTTAAATGCATTTGCAACAACTCTATTTCCAAATAAGGTCACAATTCTGAGGTATTGGGGGTTAGGACTTCGACATATGAATTTTTGCAGTACACAGTTTAACCCGTAACTGCTATGGATTGACTTTCTTGTGGAAACCTGTGAAGGATTTGACCTCTACATCTGGGATGACACAAAAGTAAATAGAAACCACGAGATGTGGAAAATAGGACTGTGCAAAGAAATTTTGGAGTGACGTAGTGCTTTCTTGGTTTGAGGGATTGGGGTTAGAGTAAAGCCTGCCTACGTTTCAAGGACTGGCAGTCCCAGTTGAAATCCGGATGACAGTGTCTTGAAATGAAGTAATTTCAAAGGCTTCTATCAATTGCCTCCCCGCTATGACCTTCAGATCTTACAGAATCAACTGTATCCTCCCAACCCTCCAAAAAGATCATCTCCTCCTACAAATCTTCAGGTCCAGTAAGAGGGAGTATTTCTTCTACTTCTTTCACATCCTCAACACGTCTAGCAGGCTGGGAAACATGCTGCTGAAGACTGATTACTAGAATATTTCTTGAAGGGAGTTCGTAATACATAGACTGCTTGTAAACACATACGATTTTTGACGATGGAGCACTGCTATGACTAGACTGATACATTTAATTTTTCTCGGTATCTGACTTAAAGAAAGGCTTATAGTGCAAGAAATATAATAGTGAATAGTATAGGAATTTACTATTCAAATGAAGAGAGCTAAAAATCCAGCTCTCTTACTAGCTATATGACTCTGGGCAATTTACTTAACCTTTCTGTGCGTCAGTTCCCTTGTCTGTAAAATGGGGATAATAATAGATCTCATCTCAATGGGCTGTTGTGAGGATTAAATGAGTTAAACCAAGTAAAACACTGAGTGTGTTGGTTCTTACATAGTAAGCTCTCAATAAATGGGAGCTATTATAATGTTCTCACGCTAGCAACTATCTTTCACACTATCAAAATGTGACCCAACTGGAACAGTTATAAGATGTGGTCAAAATAAGTATAGCACTTAAAATTAAGTAGAACACAGGAAATGCTCTGCCTTGTAAGACTCACTATAACCATTGACTGGAGCTTAAATTGTTGGGTCAGGGGCCAAGCAATACTCACCATATACTTAGGCCATTGTACATAGTTAAGACAGCAATTGCCTGAGCCCAGAACCTGCATTATCAGCCGAGGCAACTATATAATCAAAACTAAAAATTCACGGCTTAAGCACTGATGATAATTTAATTATGTGTTTAATCCATTATCATCATCAAATAGACAATCTGATGGTTTAGAAACATAAATACTAGGCCAAGATGTAATTTCAAAGTGACCATTATCCTAATCTCATTTTAAAATGTCTTGGGGAGAAAAAGAATAGACAATAGCTGTTATGAAACAGCTTATAGACATAGGCTCTACGAAACCTCACAGACAATAGCTGTTATGAAAAATTGTAATGCTAGATAATAAAAGCCAAAGACCTGATTTATTCACCAAGTTTGACTCTTTTAAAGAAAATTCCAATATGGTGGAGTTCCTATCTTAGCAAAACTCATTCATTATCTCAGCTTTATAAATACCTCCGTTTAGAAGACAGCAGAGGTTCCTCACCTGCAAAATGAGAAGATAAAGAAATGCATTTCAAGGCACCACTGGAAAATTTAACTGAAATTATTTATTCAAAAGCAATTTGAAAACTGTAAAATGTACATATGGTAGTTGTTATTATACTTATAAAGGGAGCTATGACTTCTCAATGATTACTAGATACTAGTATGTGAAAACAAAATAAATTGAGTATAATGTTCAAAAGAAGGAAGATTTATAAACCACTTCCTACCTGACAGAGCATCTTTGTATTTACTACAGCTGTTCATTCTCATGGCCACCTTTGAAGGGCGGCTGGCAGCTATCGTTATACCTGATGGCCAAGAAGACCGAGGCTCAAGATAACATACGCATGTGGCAAAACCAGGACTCAAGCATTCATTTTCTTTTCTGGTTTCAGCTCTTAGCTCTGTCTTTTATGCTTCCTTTAGTAAAAGACTATGCATGTATGTTACCTTGAGTTTTAGTTTCTAAACTTAGCATTTCCTGTCGTCATTGTGCACATCTTTCTGTCATCAGTAAAATAAAGCATAATACAAGCTAAACGCCTCCCCTTTTTGTTAAGTAAGAAGCAGCTCAGAAATATGCAAGGGGTAGCAGAGCCCACGCCACACCCATAATATCTCAACTACCTTCTTCTGGGGAGAACTCAAACCAGAACCATTTATCTGAATTCAAGCTCTGTGTCCAGAAGGCCATCATGCCACTTAACTGCTCTGCGTAACCAAACACCCCAAACAAAGAGGTTTAGGAGGGGTTCACGGTTGCTCACAAGTTTGTGGATGAACTGGGCAGTTCTAGTCTCAGCTAGGCTCCCTCGTTCATCTGTGGTCAGTGGTGGGCTGGGTAAGTAACTCTGTAGCTCTTGGTTAGACTTTCACGCATATGCTCACTGTAGACTGGTATAGATTGGCCTCAGCTGGGACAATTCGTCACTCCTTGTGATCATTCATCCTCCAGGAGGCTATCCCAGGCTTGTTCTTCTGGCAGAAGCAGGGGTCTGAGATCGGAGACAGAAGTGGACAAGGTCTCTGGAGTCCAAGACTTAGAACTGGCACATTGTTCCTTCCACTATGTTCTATTAACCAAAGCAAGTCACAAGGCCAGCCCAAAGCCAGGGAGTGGGGAAAGAAATTCCGCCTTTTCATGCGATAAACTGGAAAATCACATAGCAAAGGGAATGGATATGGGGAGAGTTGAAGAATTGGGGCCATCTTTGCAAGCATTCTACTGTAGTCATCACCATGTTATATCACAGAGGAGGAAGGACTAGCATGTTAACGCACATTAGACATTTGGGTCGATTAGTTGGTTGTCACCTTGCAGCATGGAAAGCTCTCAGTTAATCAGGCAAGGGGTTCGGTAATAAAATATGATAATTTACTCTACTTTGTATTCCCAACACCTAGCAATGCATCAGGCAAATTGTAGCATTCCATAAAAATAATTAATAATGATAAAAAAAATGATAGTCAGAAAATTACTCTATTAGAAATCACAGTTCAGCTATGCCAATTCCCTGTGAGGTTTTGGAAGAGGGTTAATTCAGCCCCCCTTGGATTTTCTAGAGACAGACAGGGCATTCTCCAATTTCTTTCTTTCTTCTTTTTCTTTCTCCCTCTCTCCCTTCCTTCCTTCCTTCCTTCCTTCCTTTCTTTCTTTCTTTCTCTTTCTTTTCTTTCTTTCTTCTTTCCTTTCTTTCATTTAAAAACATGAAGGCTGTAAGAACACTAGAAATTATGTAGATCTAACCCACTCATTACATAGATGGGGAGATTGACACTAAGAAACTGGTCACTCGGCTTAAAAACACAGATGGTTAATATGAGACACTAGAACTCAGAGCCCATGGCTCCCAGCCTAGCCGCCCCCCACCCTGCCCCCACTTATTACTCTAGCACATTGCTACTCAGTGTGTATTCCATGGACCAGTAGCATCAGCATCCCATGGGTGCTTGATAGGAATGCAGAATCTCAGACCCTATCCCAGGCCCACTGATTGAGAATTTGGATTTTAACATGATCCCCAGATAATTTATATGTGTATTAAAGTTGGAAAAGCTCCAGGCTTCCCAATAAATACTTAATAGCTGAAAAACGTAAAATAACTTGTTTAGTTAAGAAAATGTTCCTTTAGGTATCTTAACACTGAAACCATCTTTTTCTATATATCTCTCGCTAATTCATTTAACACATGCCTCCTGAGTCTTATTCTGTCCAAGGTGTTGTAGAAACATCGAGAGCAGGTCTTTGCTCACCTGGAGCTCATAATCCAGAAGGGAGTCAAGTCCTTTCCCACGTCCTCCTTTCTTCCTCTGTGCCCTCTCTCTGCTCTTTGCTTTCCCAACCTCCTCCCACTCCCCATCTTAATGATGCCATGACTGAAATCTAATTTCGGAAGCTGTTGGTTTAAGAGCAAAGTACTTTATTAATTTGAAATTCCAATTTCAGAATAGTGATTTAAGATGTTGCAAAAATTTTATTTGGCTCACTTCCAAGCAGCCTACATTATAACATCAGTATGACCCCAAAACTGTCTAAAGAAGCCTACAGCGCTCTGAACACTGGGGGAAATTCTTCATGAATAGAGTACAGGTTAGTTACACATTTTAGTCTTTGCTTTTGTATTTTCCTAATGCAGTCTTTCCTCTGACAGATAATAGGTTGGGAAGCTGACATACAAAATAAGATTGTAATTTTTTTCCTGAAATATTCAGAGCCTGCATACCTACATCTATAATAAAAAAATTATTTTTTCATTGAGAAGCAAAGGGAAAATTTTCAGTACCAACAGATTAACTCCATTCAAGAATTTGGTATTAAAAAAAGACAGTTAAACAGAAATCCAGTACATTAACAATTTTCTGATGTGTAATATGTCAGATGGAGATTTTACATTAAACAATTGGATGATAAGTAACGGCGATGCGATGCTACTCAATTCTTTTGAGGCTTATATGCCTGGCATTTTAAGTTCCAGTGATTGCAAGTATTATATCTTTCTCTCTCTCTTTTTTTTTACACTCTCTCATAGTCCTGAAAAGCTCTGAGCTCATTTCATTCTTCTTTCCTCCCCTTGTCTTCTCCCTCTTCAAAGATATTACGTGACGATTCAGCTTTTCAAAATCAAGACTGCTTGAACTTTAGCTGAGAGTAATGAAATTTCAATCTTTCATACAATGGCAACTACATCCTCTTTCTGTTCTCTTGCTGTAGTCGGAACAGCAACTGCCCAGCGTGAACAATAGGACTACTTTTCAGTTCTAAGGGATTGGCTGTTGCTGAACAGCAGTGCATAGAAATAATCCTTGGCAATCCCATGGGTATCATTTCTCATTCCTTATCACCCATGCTGCACACAGCCAGAACTCGATAAGACACCCAGAAAGAAGATAATGGCTACTATCAAGCTGTCTAGGTAGAAATAATAATAATAATCTGTTTATGGAAAAGCAGCTGTCCTATTGTTTTGGATTTCATGAAATCCCAGAGTCAGATCCTCTCTTCCATGCCAGCCCCATCCCCATTCTGCGTGCCAACCCAATCACTTTGGAGCTTTAATAACAGGCATTTTTTTTTTTATGATCTTTTGATACAATAGACAAGGATGCCATGTAAATATCCCATAATCATATTCAGTCGTGGGATGTATTGAAAGACAAGAGCAGAGGCATTTTATAGGAAAATTTGGAGGCTGGGAGGACTTTGTCATGGATATAGGAAAGCCCAGTTTCCCTTTTAAAAATATGCACAAAACACAGAATTACTGCAAATGAGCAGCTCAGTGATCATTCAAGTCTGAAATCTTAACCCCCACAATTTCAAAGTGAGGTCTCAATTTCTCAAAGCGAAACCTCAAAGAATTGCGATGCTGTGGTTGCCAACAATGCAGGTTGCCAACAGTGCGGGTTACATCTATGTTCACTGCTTTTCGTTCGTCCTAAACACAACAGCCTGAGGCTCGGGTCATCCTGGCTATAACAGCGTTGTTTTTTTTTCCCCTTGAGCCGGATGGCTCCTCTGGCTGGGACTGAATAGGGGTCGCTTTATTTCCCAGTGTTCTGATAGAGCATTGCCTTTATCACAGTCATCGTCATGAAGGATTGTCTCCTTTCTTTATCTGTCCCCCTGTGAGGGGATGCTACTTTCCTTTCTTCATGTGTCCCTCTGTCTCTGGTGAAAGAACTAAGCAACCATGCCTTTCAGGGTGAGACAACACAATTGAAGACAACTAAGTGTATCAGGTCCTTATTTCCTCCTCATGGTACTAAGATCCAGCCAAGGCCTGCATTTGGCCTTCCAGGGCTGGGAGACACCTTCATGCCCAAAACAGTCATCCCATACGAGTCCCACCATTGCAGCGAGCAGAGGGATGTGGTTACCTTTGTCTCTCTTTCCTGTGGCTTCCCTCACAGTCATCACCACCTCTAATTTGCTCAGGCTGCAATCTCTTTCTCCCTGCGTCCCCTTTTCAGAAGGCGTGGCAATGCCGTGGAGGACAAAGATATGGACTTGGTAAGTGGAGAAGCAATCTTGAAGACTTTCTCACTGCTGAGTTCCTCTATTTTGTGTCATAGAATCACTCTGTAAGCCAGAGATCTCTTTGTCTCTGACTAAGTCCGGGTCTCTCCCTACACAACAAAGCGCACCCAACTGAATTTCTCTCTGTTTCTCTCTCTCTCTCTCTCTCTCTCTCTCTCGTGAATATCCTACTCCAAAGAGGCATAGTTCAAGCACTGCTTTCTCTGTGGGACCTTCCTCTACCCTCTGCCACCTTCTCCCATCCTCCAACAGAATTAGTTAATCATGGTACTTTGTACACAGCTGTGTTATAACCTCTTTCATTCTGCATCACATGCCTTTCTCGCCAACCAGAATGTGAATTCCCAAAAATTAAGTAAATGCCTTTTAGTTGTTGTTGTTCACCTTTAGGAAGGCAATTCAGCAAAATGAACAAGAGAATGGGTTTGTGTCAGACAAATCTGGATATGAATCCTAGGTCTGACATTAACTAGCCATGTGCCCTTGAGTTTCCTGGGACTCAATTTACCATTGTGTAAAATGGGGCTATTTCATAAAGTTTTTTTTAAGGATTAAGTGAATTAAAGCATGTGTATGTAAAATCTTTAACATAATACTGACACTCAATAGGCTCTCAATAAATGGTAGCTATTATTATGATCGTAATTAACTTGGTATCCGCAGTCACCCCACAGTAGACTATCTTATTGTTTCTATTAATCTATATTAATGTATATTAAAGAGCAAAGTAGAAGAACAGACAAAATACACATATATATATACAGTACATATACACACACTGTCATCCTCTCTCTATAAATTGCATTGCTCTCTGCTTATCTGAGCTCTCAAGATGGGATAGTCTGTCGATCTACAGGGTATATGACAGAAGGGAAGAAACTGATCACAAAAGAGTTTGCAGGAATTCTCCTTTCTAACCGCTTTACCATAAGTAGTGGCCTCACAGAACCCACAGGCTTTCCTCTGTGAGTGCCGAATTTGCCCCTCTCCTTGTGACATCCAGCTAAAAACACAGGTGTGGCAGGTGGCAAGAGCCACATCCAGCAGGCCTGCAAAGGGACAAGCAGAAGTCATCGGGTCTACCTCCGCTTGCCAGAGTGAGTCATAGCAGAATTCAGGAAACAAGGAGATGTGGCCTTGAACTTGCACTTCCTTCTCACAATAGTCCTTTTCTACACAAGTCATTATAAATTGCCTGGTCTCACACCGTGAGTGACTGTAAAATCTTGGAAGTGTCTGGATTCAGACTTGGCATTTCCCCCAGAAGACACCAAAGGGGTTAATGTCTGGCCAGTCAGTAATCAAAGTCTGGCAGCTCTTACCCCACACATAATGGGCATTGTTGTTCCTGAGAGTTTGTCTGTTTTTTCTGGCAGGCTTGACTGTTTGGAACTGATTCTAAAACAGAAAAGGAAAAAGTCAGTCTGCTTTTTTGAAGCACACATGCAACAAAACATAAGGCCGGTCATAACTGCTGTTTTGCTAGATTTCCAGGAAAGTTGTTGGCTTACTGTTCAGAGAAGATGAATTATCGACTTAAAATACATTTATCTCAAAAGGAATTCATTTATATACGTACATAAGACACACATAATGTCCTGAGGTGGCCGCCTTCTCTCAGATATGAAGCAACACATTACAACTATATTAGCTGATAAGTGAACTGTGGCGGGCCCATCCATCTGCATATAAAATCCATTTGCATGACGTTATTAATGGGCTCACTCATCAACCTTCCCAGGTCACTTGCAATCTCAGGACCTGTTCATCACTCCCACCTGATGGGCCCCCAGATGTTCCCGTGTGAGACCATATGAATATGTCTTACTAAGTTACCAATACAAAAAAAAAAAAAAACCCATTATGAATTGCTAGATTCTATTCCAATGTGAAAGGCCAGAATTTTTTTATTTCCAATCTGTCATAAACCAAACTTTTGCATAAACCAAAATCATGCATTTGGATGTCAACAGCACATCCAATTGCTATAAATGCTTTTAAACACTTAATTTCTGTACTTACCTTGATCAGTAACAGTTTGTGAATCACACGGCCTACAGACCACACTCTGCTGGGCCATGGGCTTAATTATATTGCTGATAGATCA